TTATATTTTATAAATTTAATTTAATTACAAATTAAATTAAAATATGTGTAACTTTCACATAATACTTTTAAATCATTATAAATTTAATTTAATTATAAATATAGATTTAATATAATCAATTCGAAGGATTAGTGCGAAAGTGGCTGGACTAATAAATAAAAAGTTTGATTAACTTTAATATGTATGTTTAGGGTATAGATTAAAATTTATTAATTAATATATTTTTAATTAATTTTATATAAATTTTTATGTGAAATTTATAATTTTAAAAAAATAAATTTTAAGTATAAATATTATGTTATATTTTTATATTTTATATTATATTTAAATTTTATATAAAATTTTGTATAAAATTAATAACAAATGCTGCCTTGAACGTACAGTTAAAAAATCCCATAAATAAAATACAGAAAACAATGACAGTCGATCCACTAGTGACCATGGAATTACCTCTCTAGTCTCACTGCACAATCGAAATTCAAGAAGATAAGTACCCACTTCTCAACTGCAACTTCTTAAGCACCTGTATTGGCTGTTTGATCCCCTTTGCAGTTGAGATTGAAGCCAGGGAGTTGAAGAAACATGGCCATTGCTACCATCAATCGCTTTTTGCTCAGAGTTAGAACAACCACCGCAACCCCATCATGCACAAGATTAGGATTGAGTCGCCTTCGCTTTTGCCCTCTCGCTTATGCCCCCGACGTCCTGCCATCCGGTAAATATTTCTGGTATTCTGCACATTCAGCGTTTTCTGCTTCTAAAGTCTCTAACTTTTTCCAAAATGAATTGATATTATTGAAGAAGAAAATGAAAATTTAGCCAAAGCGAAGGAATTGGAGAAGAAAATGGAGCTGCTTGGCATAAAATGTGACGATTCTTCGTTTGTGCCGGGGCGCTATAGTCACTTGCTTTGTCCAAAGGTGTCTGTTTATATGCTACCCCATATTTTACTGCCTTCTTTGTGATTTTATGCCATGATTTTTTAGTGGAATTATCCATGTCCAGAAAAATGAAGAACACATTTTTTATTTTTTATTTTGGGGTTCTTTTGTTCGCTTCGGAGGAACTGAATCCTGCTGTACTTTGGTGCATAGTGCAGGGGTGGCAATTCTATGGGGAGGACTTTATCACTTCATGTTTTTCAAGAAGGGTAATCTGCTGTTTTCTCAGTTTTGTTTTTTGATTTGTGTATGCATGTTGAATAGAGCATTGTAGGATAATGGTGAGAGTCATTTGGTGTTGTAGGGATTCTGCAATGTGGAGGTGTTTCCAAACTAATTGCGGATGGGCAGGCCAGGTATCCTTATGGATTACAAAATGTATTTGTGTAAAAAGAGAGACCAAAAAAAAAGAAAAAAAAGAAAATAAAATCTTGAGATATGAAGCCAGACAATTGATAGAAGGTTTTGGAAGAAGTAACAAACGGTGGCTTTGTTTTGTAGGCCTTTGCAAACAACAGTAAGATACTGGTGCAGGGTATAGCGTTAGAGCCAATTGGACAAGAGGTATTTAGTTTGGTGATGTTTTCATCCTCCTGAAATTTGAGATACAGCTTAAATGCCTCAACCACGTTCCTTTTTGTAAACCAAAATATCCTCTCTATGGTCATGGTTCTGCGAATGCCATTGCTTATTAATAACGATAAGTCTTCTTTTCATTCATGAATCATGATCCAGCTGATTGTATACTTTGCGGAGCGAGGGATATCTCAGGAAACTCTGCAAAGAAATGGCGTCATGCAAAAATACGGTGATCAGGTCTTCTTGATGCTGTCAATTGCCTTGCTTTCTTTCTTAATAAGAAAAATTGTGATTCCCCCGGTCCCTGGGGTAAATGTGTTGATATTGAACTTACATCTCTGTTCTTTTAAGCCTAAGATTTCCCCTATTGTTTCCTTGAACTTTTTGTTTAGATTCCTTGATGGCAGATATGTTTTTCATATTTGTCAATAATATTTCCATCGGGGCTACCATTAGATGTTTAGTTCTTTAATTTTGGTTTGACATTATAGCATGGGGGAGGTGCTTTAGTTTAGGTAGTCAAGTCAGTATATTATAGTGGGAGAAGACACATCCTAATTCTGTGATTAGATAATGCTAATTATCATTGTAGTCATTTTATTGTTGACCCTAACTTGCTGGTTTTGACATAGAAGATGTAAAAATTTTGTATTCTGATTTTGAATCTTATGGTTAAGACATTGGCTAAACTCATGTTTGAGGTTTTAGGTGAACCTGGATTTGTACATTTACAACTTCTATCAGTTTTGCATCAAGGATATCATGTTGTGTTAACATTTCTAAGTCATCTTGATCTTCCAAACCACCTCAACCCTGAGAACTTGACTTTTAATCCAACTCTTATTGGAATGTTTAACAGGATGTCATTGCTTTTACTTATAGGAGGAACGGGGTGCTTGTTGGTTGCAAGTACCGAACCATGAATAAAAGGTTCTGGCAGGTATGTTAGATGTTGGCACTACTGTTTGCATACCTTGACTGGGCCCCTAAAATGAGAAGAAAGATGCAAAGATTCAATCAGTACTCAACTACCAGGAGGCAATAAAAGTTAAAAGACTTTTCAGCCATTCTTTGGTGGTTATAAGAGTGCTAACCATAACTTATCCCAAATTTGCTAGATTGAGCCCCATAAGATTAGTGGGGATCATCTTCTCTGAAAACAGTTAAGTTGGGGGAACTTCCTGCATCTCTTCCCCACAAGAATAGTGAGGGTCATTAACCTGAGATGCAAGTGTGGCATGTTGGATTCATATTGGGGACAAAATTCAAGATGGAAAGTTGTCTACTTTGACTTGGAAGGGTAAAATATCGATAATGGAAAAACATAAAAGGTGGATAAGGATTACGATAGATTATGGTTACTTGGTAATTTAATCAATTGTCATTAATTGAATGCATTACCACTACGTATCTGATGTATGGATCCATTTGTAAAACATAATCTGACCAACTAGACTGTTTAACCTTTGGAGACAACTATAATTGACATGTGGTTATTGTCTACAGGCTTCATTCCCAGTTCCTAACATGTGTGTTTGGGAGGCAGTTTTTTCTGTTTAATCTTTCTGTAGATATGAAATGCCATTTTGTTTCACACTTATGCCAATTTTTTCAGCATGGATTGTATTTTACTCTATGTTGTACATTGCCAGGAGAAGGGCACAAAAAAATGGTTATATGGACTTGATGACATTAATGACACTGCTGAAATCATCATTGTAATTTCTCTTCCTTATCTGGCAAATTTACTCTAGTTTCCAGTTATAACTGGTTACTTAATCGCCCACCACCCTCCCTCTCTCATATATTCTTGTTTATTTTTATTTATGATAGGTTGAAGGTGAAATAGATAAGCTTTCAATGGAGGAAGCTGGCTTCCATAATTGTGTAAGTGTTCCTTCTGGTGCACCACAGAGAGTCTCTACCCAAGAATTACCAGCAATGGAAAAGGTTCGGGTTCTAATGTACTTGCCCATTTTACAGGAATGGATTAACTTTTGTCTTGCAAACAACTTTTCCATTTTATTCATACCATAATATGAGGATGTTATGTTGTATAAACCTAAAAACTGGCAATACTATATATAGTGCATAAGAAAGTACCTGTTAACATTAATGACACGAAATTTAATGCCATTGTTTATTTGTTTCTATTTCTGTTTTGATGGGTTCTGTTTATGTTTTGTAGGACGGGGCATATCAGTATCTATGGAACTGCAAGGAATACTTGGACAAGGTTTATTAATTTACAGCAACCATTTAAAAAAATAGCTCAATATTGGTTAGGCACAGATGATGCTTTTTCAGACTTTCCACTTTACATTTCAGCAGAATTTATTCTATTTTTTAAAATATATATTTCCTTTCCTAAAACAACCCTCTTAGGTATCTCGCATCATACTGGCAACTGATGTTGACAAACCTGGGAAAGCCTTGGCAGAGGAGCTAGCACGCCGCCTTGGAAAAGAAAGGTTGCTGCATATAAATTTGAATCTTATTGTTGTTACCGCTTATAAATTTGAATCTTACAGTCTTGGAAAAGAATTTATTCTCTCTCTCCCTCTCTGTGTGTGTGTTGGTACCTTTGGTAGGCCAAGGGGGAGGATGAATTTGAATCATGGACTTATGCCTCTTAAAGGAGGGTTAACAACCACTAGTCTAAGCATAGGTTGTCTATAAACTGATTTTTCTCACTTAAGTTGAAACTTTTTCATTCTATCACAGAATATATGCACATCACCTGTTGGACACTTGCAATTTGCAAATTTGATTGCTCAAAATGCCTCTTAAATAACTCTAACATATACATAGCCAAAAAAAAAAAAAAAAAAAAAAAAAAAAAAAAAAAAAAAGAGAGAAGAAACTCTAATGTATACAAGCCTTAGTGCTGGTAGTTTACTGGCTACTGCTGGGTTTCTAACTTATTATTCAGTTCATGCTTTATGTCTTGTAACAATGGAAGGGTTTCAGCCTTCCAGGTTTAGAAAATAAAATAGTCTTATATTTGTTCCTTCAAAAAACATGGTGTTCTTAATTATTAAATTTTACCTTCTTATATGTCTTTTTCTATGACTATTAGATGTTGGATTGTGCATTGGCCAAAGAAGGATGGGTTTGGTTGTTTCAAAGATGCAAATGAGGTATTTTACTATTTTTATTGTTTCTACTGCTGCCCTCTTCTTTTCTAACAGAAAGATGTTTGGTAACTAATTTGAATGTCTGTGTGTGGGAAAACCCTGTGACTTAATGGGGCAATGTATCTGTCACCAGTTACACACTTGTCACCAGTTACACACTTGATGAATTTCATTCTTGTTGGAAAAAGAAAGGCATAATAAAGTTCACCAGTTGGTATTGCTGTTGGGAGGACAATAGTGATGAATAACTACATATTGCTCAATATATGATAATTTACTGGAAAGAAACTGTTTTACTATTAAACTTGGCATTCTCTGTTTTCCCCTTTCTAACCCTAAGTCATGCCCCTAGAGGTGGACGGAGCTACTTAGGTTAAGCCAGAAATTGGCAGCTTTTGGCTAGCTAGCTGTTTTAAATTGATATTTTGGAGATATTATGATGCTAGTTTCTCGTGTTTAGTAGAAAATCTAACTCTGCCCCATTAAGCAAAGGCTTCATCCTCCCCACTTGCCATATAAGTCTTCTTTATTTAATTACAGACTAATTGAAAATTCATGTCTAAAAGTAACTATCAATCCACGTAGTCATTATGAAATTTGGTTTATGATTGTATAGGTTCTCAAGTGCTTGGGACCAGAAGCTTTGAAGGAAGTAATAGAAAATGCAGAGCAGTATAAGGAACGTGTATAAGGTACTTTTGAGGTTTACAAAGATAATTCAGGCTTCATTTTACTGTTTTTGTACCTTAGAACTCTTATAAAGTCTTAAAATGCTGTTGAGTGGCAATCATTGGTAGGGCATTTGTACTTGTGTAGGCATCTTTCTAATATTGCCTCCGTTGATAAGTGCCCGTGAGTTCACTAAATTGCATGTTGGATTTTATTAAAGGGAGGATAGCTTTGCCAACCTTAAAAATAGAAATGGCTTTTAATCAATAGACCCTTTTTCAGAACTAAAGAAAGAATCAAATGCCTAAAAATTTGCATATTGTTCCCTGCAGGGAAAAAGAAATTGCTTACTGCTGCATAACACAAAAGTTGATTAGATGGAAAAATGTTTTGAATCATGGTACTGAATAAGGATTATTATTTCTTACCAGAAAATTTTCAAGGGCCTGTTAATTTCGCTTGGGTGTATGGTGCAAGTGAAATTTTAATCCTGGATCCCAATATGGTGTGAATATTATTAAGTCATTCTGTTGTTTGCAATGGAAAACAAACATGTTTGCCAGTTGTTTCATGAAATCATTTGAATACCTTTTCTTCCAGTAATTATTAATTCATTCTGGCCTTTCTTTCCTATACACCCATTGATTATATTTGGGAAGTGCTTCAAATTGATGGTTGCAGACCTCATGTGACAGCAGTAGGTGGTCACCGAATATCTGCACTTGGTCATGCAATCATTCTTGCAAGGATTGGCCAATGGTGGTATCTCCAAGCTCAAACAATGCAAGCAGGATGATCAAAGTCATGAGAAGCAGGGCGGCACCTTGCCTTCAGACCAATCCACTTACTATGTATTGCGTCCTTGTCTCTATAACACAGGGTTGAACTTGAAATGGTGTAGGAAATCAGGTAAGGGGTTGGTCTCATAGTGGTTCAAGTTGTGAATGGTCAACTGTTAACATGATTCGTTGATCTCCCTGTTTGATTCTTTTTAGCCTCCAAAATTGAATTATGGTTTGTAAAATAACTGTTTTGTATCAATTGGAATCACAAATATGACTTGTACAAGGGACCTTAGACACTCGGATGGCACCATGAGGTATAATTGGCGTAATTGGTGATAACCTTAAAACCCAAAAATGGTAAGGTAATTAGAAAATCAATCAAAAAAAATTGAGGAGAAGATTACCCATGGACAGCTGAGAAAAGTCACTGGTCTAGTTAGAAGTGTGGTTATGACTGCAAAAAAAATTGTCAACACTGTTAAATTGATATACAATGTGATATTTGTATTTTTTTATTTTTAAATAAATAATTATAACATTTAAAAATATTAATTTATAAATTAATTTTTATTTATTAAATAATAAATATTAATTATTTTATTAATTATTAGTTATTCTTAATAATTAAATTAAATTAAATTAATATTTTTATAATATTATTTTAATAATCACAACAATTTTATTAGTGATTATAGTCATATTCCCTCTTTAAAATGAAATTGTTGTAAAATGGTAACATTTGATGAGAACTAATTGTAATCCGCTTCAAACGTTAGGGACCTGTAAGACAATTTAGTAACGTAACAGTGGGCCCCACTATGAGGCCACGGTGCAAGCCAGCCAGGGCATGGATGATTATACAGGCCAGCCATTAGATAAAAGCCGCAGAAACCTTATTAGAGGCTTAAACCCCTCTTCTTCAGTTTCCCCCCATCGGAGCCACCGTCCATGGAACTCTGTTGAGAGAATTCCGGCGACTGATTAAGGGCGCACGATAGAGGGACGCTTACAGTGGTAATGAGAGATGCGTGTTCTTCTCCATAATCCCCAGTTGCTTGTTCGCAGACTTCCCCTCTGCTCTTTAAACGTAGCTGCTCTAATGGGTTCCAGACAGTTGCTCAAGACCCCTTCTTCTTTCGCTCTGGTGCCTCTAAACCATAATTATCGTTCAGAAAAGCACCGTTCCAGTATCTGCAGACGCATGGTGCGTGTTCTTGCTTCACAACCCATCTCGAACAACCACCCTTTCAGGCTTAAGACTAATGGGTTCTCCTCTATTGCTAGTCCCACTGTTGCTAGTCCAGGTGCTTCCTCTTGACCTATGTAAAGACTCCAACTTTATGTGTATAACAATAGTTGAAATTGTTGCTTCAAGTTATGTTCTGTTTTTTTGGTAACAAAGAATCCCAAGGGACATGCTTCTTCGTATAACTTGCTAATTAGAAGTTGTTTTGTTAACTGATTGTATGATTGGAATCATACATTGTTGGTGGCATCTTTTTTTGGATGCTCAATTTGAAGGGAAAGGTTGTTGATAGTATATTTATGTTGTTTCATTAAGTTTTTTCTGTTTTTCTGGAAAGTCTGGGAAGATGGGAGGCATAGGTGTGGTTATCTGTAATTTTAGAACTGTATACTGCAAGGCTTATCTAAGGTCATATTTTCTGTTTGTCCCTAAGTTTATACTGAGGGTTTGGAAGAGAGGAGCTTGCCTGTGAGTCATTTGGAGGTTCGTTTGGAGATACTGAAGTGGAAATTAAATAAGCTTGGCTTCGACACAGACACATGTACTCCTGGAAAGCAGCACTCTAGTTTACTTTGTCCAGTGGTAAGTTTTTTTTGATGTAATGCAGCTTTATTTTCATTTATTTAAAGTTAGGATTTGCGGTTTTAATTAATTGAATGGATTTGCAATCTGAAAAATGCGTTACATCTTTAAGTGAACTGTCTTTGATGCTCGTTGCTATCCAGATTGAATACCTAAACATTTAATAAGTAATTGGATATCTTGGAATTTCAGCCTGAGAATGGTAGGTGACTGAGATGAGATGAGATACTTGAAACAGTTGCCAATTCAAAAGAAAACAGTTTATGTGATTCAGCCAGTGGGCTACAGTAATTGGATGGTGACTAAAATAGATCATCTATTTGTAGACATTAGAATCCACGTGAAAGATTTGAATCTACTTAACCTTACTTCTTTAGGGCATAAGCCTTCCATTCTCAGAACCTAACTCTAATCCATTTCTTTAAGGCAGACAGTTCTTTTATCAATTGTAATTCTTCTTTACTGGCTTAAATCTCAGTGCATTGATTTTCTTAGGTTTGTTTTTTCACCAAGAAAGTAAAAAAGTACTGAAGTCTAAGGAATGTTACTTTTTAATGTAATCGCATTCCTATAAATAATATTTAGCCATGTATATGTTTATGATCTTATGCCTTTTTTTATTATTATTATTATTATTATTATTATTTAGTTTTTTACTTCTAAGTTTATGTTGTTATTTTTGTGATAGTGCAAAGGTGGCGATTCAGAGGAGAAAAGCTTATCTCTTGTAATTAGCCCAGATGGGTATGTAGCTTCTACTTTTGCTTTCAGTGTTTTCAGAGACGTACACAGGTGTTCTTGGGGTGAGGTGGGGCAAAAACGCACTAGAACATGTCAAAGTGAGCTTTAAACCTATCAAGGATATGCCTAATATCATGGAATGCAGCAGGCTTCTACCTTAATAGAAAGAAAGTGAAGGCAATTAACTTAACATTAAGTGATTCTTATGGCCTTGTTTGCTCCTCTGAAAACTTAATAGAAAGAAAGAAAGTCACATTCACTTTTTACTTGAACTTATTTGTTGCTCAACTGATTATCAGCATTGTTTATGCTCATTTATCTTAATCTTTTCCTTTTTGAATCTCTTCTCTCAATCTCTTCCCTCATATTTGCTTTTATCATTATCATCATCATCATCATCAAGACTTATACTGACCTCTAGTGTATACACTTGATTAATATTAATACAACTCTTTATACTGTTTCAATCATTCTCACTAGAAAAATTGAAATTTACTTATAGTTTTGAAGTGCAAATTGTAAAAGTGGTTAACTGGCAACGATTCTTTGCCATCTGCTAGCTTTTGAGTGATTCTTCATTGTTTAAGAACTCGACTATACATAAGTTTCTTGGTGAAAAATGTCTGATAGAACAGAAAATTTATGCTAATGCCATAATTGTTTAATAAATTTGATTGTGTTAATTTTTGTCATTTTATTATTTTTAATTAATCGGTTTTAATTATCCAAACATACAAATAGTAGCTGAAAGGGTGTGCATCGCCTTATGTCAAGTGTCTTAGCCTTTGCCTCTGAAAACACAGTTTCATCTTTTCTGATTTTTTTTTTCTTAATTGGTCATCAACCATGTTGTTTGGACTGTGTTTAGGGCTTCAGCATCATGGATTTGTTTTAGAGGAAAATGTGGGTGGAAGGGCAACACAAGGGTATTCTATTTCTCACATCTGAATTTGATGCGGAAGTTATATTTCTAAATTTGATTTCTTATAAGTTTCCAGTGTCTTCCTTATGTTTCAGGCTTTAGCAGATGGAAAATCATCATTTGCAAGTCAAAGCAAGATTAACAGCCCAAAGGTCAAGAGAAAAATCACGGTTGAATGTCTGGGATTAGAGCCCCTCAGTAATCAGGTTACTGCATTTCACTTTTTTTTTTTCTCTTCACCTTGTAGAAACTGATACTTCTTTGATTTCCATCCCTCATGCTCAATGCAACTGTTCATTACTAACAATCTGGCTTTTTCATTCAATGTGCTTTTGTGGTGTTATTGTTGTTTGTTTCCTTCTTTCTTTTTTCCTTTTTATCCTCCCTTTTTCAATCTATATTAATTACTCTACAATGGCAGAATATGTGTATTGTTTACTAAGGTTCTGTTGGTTTTGCCCTTGTTGCTACCTTGGTCTTAACCATTTTGTTTTTGTGTCATCTGGGTTTGGCTACAGCTGTATTGCATGAGTGTAAAAACATATAATAACATTTCGCAAAAAAAAAAATATATTAACATTTATGATTGTCAATATTTAACAAGGGGCCCTTGTCTATGATTTCCTGAAATAATTAAGGCAGATAGCTGAACTGAGTTGAAGCTTGGATTTAGTGATTAGTGTTATATTTTTGTCTTTTGATTTTTGTAACGAGGAGGCTGGTTGTGTCATGTACTCTCTTGACACATTCTGAGGATCTCCTAAAAATATGTATGCCTCATGTATGTCTATTTTTTTTTTGGCCTTCTCATGTGTGTCTTACTGGTTTTAAAATATATATATATATATATATATATTGAGATCATAGCATTATATGGCAGGACTTGGTGCTGCGTCATTACATAAAAATCATTATAAAGAACCTTTGGGGGGCTATGTTATACAACACGGCATTGGAGTTTTTGTAGGGATTTGCAATATCTGAATTGTAAGGAGCTATGGGAAAGGGTACAAAGCTCAAAGTGGATGACTATATATGCAAAAGTGTTCTATTGAAACAACTTAAAATGTTATACAAATTTAACTACCTAAGTGACCATCCCTATTTTGGCAAGTTCTGTTCTAGCTGACGAATCCATTGAATTTTCCTATGCATGTTATTTTATCATTTGTTTTTGGAGGTAAAACTTTTTGACAACTGTACTGTATTATGCTGCTTTTTCAAGTTCTATGAATTTTTTTGGAGATCAGGGGTGGGGGTGGGGGTTTCAATTGTATAGCATAAAAGCTTTAATCTCATTACATGAAAGTGGCATTTAGTTTAGTCTGTAAATCTGAATTGCCAAGTTACTTAATCTATGTTAAAATTTTTCTTCCTAGGCTCAGAAATGAATATTCCTATGCTTTTTTTTTTTTTTTTGGGGGGGGGGGGGTTGGGGGAGAGGAATGGCAAGCTTTTTCATGCCACTAAGCATGAATGCATTACATCATTTCATCCAGGAATATTCAAAACGGAAAACAGTCCTCAACTAACTACATAAACTTAACAAATATAAAATCCAATGCACCACCAATATTGCTATGCCCTTCTTACTCTTTGTTCCTTTATTTTAGTTTGAGTAAACTATTTGGTGGTTTGTGATTCTTTTTTCTCTATCTGTGTGTATAGATTTTTTTGTAAAGCATGATGAACCAAATTTTATAACATTCCATTTGACCTTGTTTCAGCTTCTTGCATATTTTGCGGAGCGAATGATATCTAAAGAAACACTGCACAGAAATGCTGTTATGCAAAAAAGATGTAATGATAAGGGCGACGAGGTACTGGTTTCTCTGTAATTGTAAAATGCAGGCTTAGTATTCAGATGATGTTAATTGTTCTTTGATGGTGACAGGTGATAACTGTGTGGTTTACTGATGTTCTGGGTAAATATGTTATGGAAGTTGGTTGTTTTGACCTGTGTACAGTATCAATCATAAGATGGTCCTGCATATGACACCCCAGTGTTCATTAGTGCAGGAAGAAGAGACTACCTGTTAGGGTATTAGGCCAGTAATTTATATTGATTCTTGTTTTCTTTATTATTTATCAAGTACGGTTACTTTAAGGCATGCATATTTAGTGTATTATATATATATATATATATATATATTTTCTGATATAGTAATATAGTTCTGTTATATATCAAAACAAAGGTAATATAGTTCTGTTAGAGTTTTGAGATCCTGGCATTCATGAACCTTCAACAATTCTAAATTTTTGTGACCTATAAATGTTTATTTTCTAATATGACAGATGTCCCACTCTAATTGCCTCTGCAGAGATATGTATGTAATTGTGCCTTATCTAATTGATATTTGCAGTTTGCTATTGCATTTACTTACTGGCGTAAAGGGGAGCTTGTAAATTGCAAATACCGGGATGTAACGAAGAGATTTTGGCAGGTTCTTATGATATAGGAGAGCATTTCTACTCACATACTCACAAAATTTAAATTTAGAATTGGATTTTTTATCACATTTTATTAATATCTAAGTTGTATAATTGTGCTACTATTTCAGGAGAGGGAGACTGAAAGGATTTTTTATGGGCTGGATGATATAGAGGAAGCAAGTGATGTCATCATTGTATGCCTTTCTTTTAGACAAAGATTTCTTCATGGTCATGCCCTTATGTATATTTGATGCTTATTGCTTTAGTTTGTTATTATAGGTTGAAGGTGAAATGGACAAACTTGCAATGGAGGAAGCTGGCTTTCGTAATTGCGTCAGTGTTCCTGATGGTGCACCTCCATCAGTTTCTGCTAACGAGTTGCCAGTTGAAGAGAAGGTTCTTATCATTTTTATATACTTGAATTTTTATCGGCTTCTTCGATAACTTTTTCAGTTACATTTCTTTTAGATCCTTCCTCTTCCTTATCAGTTTCGTTGGAAATATATCCTTCCATTACTTGTCTCTCATTACACTCATCTATTTGAGAAACAGAAGGAAAAACTGCTCCATTGGGGTGGATTGGTTTGAAACCATTTGATTGGTCACATTTTTCTATGATTGGGTCATTGGATTGAGTTTTATTTTAATAATGGAGATACTTACTGAGGTTGTTTAATAATGAAGATAAGATTATATATTTGAGGCTTGAAATTTTGAAGAAAAGAGAAAGGAAAATGTTAAACATAGCAAAAAACAGGAAATGGTATATATTGGTATGACACCTCCACGTTGGGGTTTTTGCACTTAACAAAAGCATAAATCTTCTGTTGGTTCTGAGATGATCATCTCTGTCATCACAAGGGAAGTATGTGACTATATAGCTTTCTTAAATCTTAAGGATAAGTCATATTATTCATTATTAGATGTCTGAGGGTGTAGTTTTGTCAATATGGTGAGTTGTGTAGCCATTTAGATTTTCTAGGAACAATTTTTTTATTTCTGATTTCATGATTTCTAGTAATTACTACAGAAAAACTGATTGGATGGTTATTGAGTCCATTGAAACGTGTGGATACTCATTTTTGGAAAAAAAATACTTTGTATGGACAGATTAGGACTTCTGCTGATTGTCATCCTGATTTTTCGTATCCTCCTTCTCTTGCTTATGGTCGAAATTTGTCATTTATTTTGCAGTGTTGTAATGACATCAATTAATGTTCTGATTGATCTGGCTCCTGTTTTCCCTTAGTGATTTATCAACTCTACTTTTGAGTTGCCTTCTTAAGTAGTGTAATTGATGAGCATTCTAACCAGTGGAAATAATAATTGAATAAAAACATAGCCACACACTCATTTTGTAAATTTTCATTTCCCCCCTTTTTATTTCCTCCCCTGAATAAAGTAGATGGATCTAATTTTTTTCTTTTTTCATTGTGTTCTGTAAAGCTAGGACATAAAATATCAGTACCTATGGAACTGCAAAGAGTACCTAAAGACGGTTGGTAGAAATAGCTTTAATGCTTCAGCTTAAATTCTGAGGTTTTATCTTTTAAATGAAAAAAGAATTTAGTTTGCAATGCTATTCATACTTGTAGGCATCACGAATTATACTTGCCACTGATGGAGATCAACCTGGTCAAGCCTTAGCTGAAGAGCTTGCACGCCGCGTTGGAAGAGAAAGGTTTGCATGATTGTGTCTTGATGATATCTTCTGTCTTTCTTTTGAAAACAATCCTCATTTATTTATTTTTTGTCAAATGATTTCTTTTTCCTTTCCTTTTTTTCCCCCATTATTCTTTATGCATTTGAAAAGAGATCTTTAATTGAGTGGTTTAACAGTATCTGTTTGTTTTATATGGAGCAGATGCTGGCGTGTTAAATGGCCAAAGAAAAATGATAAGGAGAATTTCAAAGATGCAAATGAGGTCATATATCTATATCTCTACTCATATATTTCTGTAATGATCAAAATCTGGTCTTGTTTTCAGTATTGTTGTTTACAATTAAGCTGGATAAGTAATGTAAAATATCATTTGAAATAAACGTTTATAATGTTGTATGTAGACAACATGTTATCATTTATTATTCCCCCATTTACATATCTATCTAGTGTTTGCTTCCTTTTAGCTCGGGCCATTGCTGCCACCGCCACCATCAAGGCATCAATTTGTTAACTTGGTTATTTCTCAGTTTGTGAGAAATTTCTTCCTGGCATAAATTGTGGATCAACTTGATAAGTACAAGGTTTTGAGACATAATAACTCCTTTTCATGTGTGTTTATGTCACATTTCTTCTTTTTCCTTTTTGATTTGGATGGTGTTTGTGTACTTGTCCTCTTGGCTCCATGACTTGTGAGCTGTTCTTTGCACCTTTTCCTGATGTTGTCACTTGGTACTGATGTATACATTTTGCTGCTAAGGTTTTTTTTTTCCTCAGTTGTTCATTTAGGTCGTTTACTCTTTTAGCATTGAATCAATGCTCATGACTCTTTATTTATTCTCACAGGTGCTTATGTTTTTAGGAGCCAATGAACTGAGGGAAGTAATTGAGAATGCTGAACTATATCCCATTAGTGGATTATTCAACTTTAGAGATTACTTCAATGAAATTGATGCATATTACCATCGGACCTTAGGATTTGAATTTGGTGTCTCAACTGGATGGAGGGCTTTAAATGAGCTTTACAATGTAAAATACCATACTCTCTCTTTCTAACATCTTGATTTGGATTAGTGATAAGGATAGTCTTCTCTAACAAGGATCTCTTGATCAGGTTGTGCCTGGAGAGTTGACTATAGTCACAGGGGTTCCGAACTCAGGAAAGAGTGAGTGGATTGATGCTCTTCTATGCAATCTTAATGAAGCTGTTGGTTGGAAGTTTGCACTTTGTTCCATGGAGAACAAGGTAAGCTGGATATTCAAATATATATGTTTTTTATTTATGCTTTTGATCATAACTTTTTAGTTTAATGGTTCATCCATATCTATGTGGAACCCTTTTAGGGATGTTGCTTTCTTTAACTTGAGAGATATCATGCATTTAGAGGTTAGAACCTATGAACTTTTTATTTTAGAAATAGTATTTCTTATTGCTGAATTGACAGATAAATAAATCACAGTGTTGTCAATAGTGCCCACTATGGTGCTATAGCAGCCATAGTGTAGTGCTCATAGAGGCTGCCACTATGAAAACAGCCATAGCGTGGCAGTTTTCCAATAGTGTTCACTTCAGACGCTATAGTGGCCACAGTGTAGGGAGTGGATGGCACCCACTTTCCACGCTATTGTATTTTCCTTTTTAAAAGACTGAAATCACCCCATTTCAGAAAATTAGATTCATTCTTTAAGGGTAAATTTGTCATTTTAATTTATTTAAATTGAAAAAAAAAATGAAATGCCCAAATTAACCCTAAATCTCATCTCAACCTGATCTGTCTTCCACCTCCTTCTCACAACTGACGTCACAGAAGCAAAGCAAAACTAAACAGCAACCCCACAAAACACCTCCTAATACCAATCAACCTTGTCGCTAGCAATCCGAGCCCCGCCACCACTCAACCTCATCGCCACTCCAGTTGCGCACGCCCCTGGCATTTTGGAGAAGTCCAAAACTCAATGCCCCTGACCTTACAAAGCCTAGAAGAACTCCATGCCCCCTTCTTTAGCACTTAAGCTTTGATTTTTATGGCATTTAAGCTTTATGGTTCTATTCTCTTGCTGATTTTTTTTTTTCTTTTTGTATGCATGTAAATAAAAAATTGTAGAAAACTTTTTAATGGATCCTAAGATGGTTGCTGGTTTCAAATTCTGTCCATTTAACAAGATTGGAAACTGAAGAGAAGCATGAGGATTATTAGATTCTCTTAAATAATAAATTTTAAATTCTTAATTCTTAGGAATTGGAATTGTCAGCTGCCTATGTGTTTTATTTTATTGTCTTATAGCTCTATTTATTCTGATTGTTATGACTTTATTTACTTGAGAGTATTATATTATTAAGTCATTTTAAGTTATAAGGTCATTTGGAATTGTCTTAGTTTCCTTTAAGTTATTAAGTCATTGAAAGCCTTTTTGTTATTAGGTCCATTATTCTGTTTATTAAATTTCTATATTTTTATTTTTTTAATAGCCGCCATTTGGTCAATAGTGGCCACTTCGCTATCTGCTATGGTATCATAGTGTATTTTTACCTTCCTGCTATTGGCCACTATTTGCTATTGATAACTCTGATAAATCATCAAACCTCAACAAGATAGATATCTTCCCCCTTCTCTTCCCCATTTTGTTGGGGTACTTTATTTATTTTATTTTTATGGGTGGTTGAAGTTATTCAAAAATACTTCTCAGTAATAGATTAACTACCTCTAATATTAGCAATTCCAAACAATTGTGTCGATTCTTGTCTTTTGAGAGGGCATCCTCATGCACAAGCTATTATAAGCATTCACTGAGACAACAACAATATTGTTGCTGCTCCCTGTATTGCATGCCTAACTCTTCTGAATTATGTTGATCTCAACTTAGGTTCGGGAGCATGCCAGAAAACTTCTAGAGAAGCACATAAAAAAACCATTCTTCAATGCAAGGTGTGTTAAGAGTAATTTTTAGATATTTCTTTTCATAATTTATGAAATTATAATTGCCAATGCCTTGTTTAATAATTCGTGAACTTTGATGTGAAAGAACTTGGCACCTGTAAGATGCTTATACAAGCTCTTTAGTTAAGATATATATCCTAGTTAGTCTTTCACCTCATTCTAATTTGTATGGGATTAACATAATAAGATATATGTATATTAAACATAAAGGTTTGATGAAATTGATCAAATATTTTGACAAATTGTCATTACCATGGTCCCCTATACCTTTTAGACCATTTAACTTGTTGAAAATGAGAACTGGTTTGTGTCATTGTTAAAAGAAAAATTATGCACTTAGTAGAAGTTAATTTCTGTGCCATGGAAGCATGCTAGGAAAATTGCATATATCATTGGCTATCTTTAGCATTCCAAAATTTTCTTTAGGTTTGAATTTTCTTTCTTGCTCTTCTTTTTTTTTTTTTGAGTTATCTCATTGCAGCTGCTCATATTATCATCACTAATTTATCCTTCTCACTTTTGTCCCCTTTGACAACCACCACAGTTATGGAGAATCTGTTGAACGAATGAGTGTTGATGAATTAGAGGAAGGGAAGAAATGGTTGAGTGAGACATTTTCTCTCATCAGGTAAGTTGTGCTTGCTTTATGTATTCTGTTAAGTTTTTCTTGCTGTTTCTCTATCAGTGGTGGTTTTTCTTTTGTTCTTTTCTCATTGGTTGGTTGTTGAACAGATGTGAAAACGATTCCCTTCCAAGTATAAAATGGGTCCTTGATCTTGCAAGGGCAGCAGTCTTAAGACATGGAGTGCGAGGACTTGTAATTGATCCTTACAATGAACTTGATCACCAACGCCCTTCCAACCAGTGAGTCTTTTCAAGTCCTTTCACAGCTCTTTTGTTCTATTCTCTTCAATTTTTTCTCCTCCCTTGTTTTTTCAATGTATTGCTTATTACCAACTTGTATCTTGGATTATGGATTTTAAGTAAATTATTTGCTATGCAGTTATGTTTCTGGCATGTTATTAGTGAAGCAGCTTATGGTTTTGCAGTTATATTTCCTTTGTGTTATTTGGTGGACTGGTTTTTTTCTCATTACAGGCCAAGGTAGTTTACCATATGAAGTGGTTTATGGTAACTGACAAAAACAGGCTAGAAGAGAGATTGTTATTGAGTTCTAGCAAAGCAAATTAACTAAAGAATGGTACATAATAGAGCTCCTAACTCAAAGGTATATAGGGTAAGAAGTTGGGGCTTGGAAAATAAAAACAATAGGAAAAATGTATTGCTGAAGCAAATATGGAAAAGAAAGAACAGTTGTGATGTTTTCTGGTGTTTAAATGTATTTCCAAGTAAGTATTCCTTATGGAGGCTTCACTGCTTGAAGTGATCACTTTTCTTAACATGGAAAACGTTAGCAAAAGCTTGGTGCTTGTGTGATGGCAAGCAGTTATATAATATAAATTATTATATGCTTTAGAGAAAGCCTCTGCATCCAAATTGGTTTTTGTTTTTCTCTTAGAGCCTTTTCCTAGTTGGTTTAGCATTAATTGTAATTCCATGATAAGTAAACATGCTAACTATCATTTACACAGTCACACACGCACACACACACAAAAGAAATCTTCCTTGGAGGTTTTCTTTAAAGTTTGATACTTAATGGTAATCTTAATAAGTTGCTTGAGAAAATTACATTATCAGCAAAACAAATTTCCTGTAACAGGACTGAAACAGAGTACGTAAGTCAGATGCTTACATTAGTCAAGCGATTTGCTCAGCATCATGCTTGCCATGTCTGGTTTGTTGCACATCCTAGACAGGTTGGACTATCTAAAATGTATTTTATTGATCTGTATCCATCTCCTCTTTTTTCCTCTTTTATGATTTAAATCCTTGTCTTCTATCAGTTGCACCATTGGGTTGGAGCTCCTCCCAACCTCTATGACATAAGTGGAAGTGCACACTTCATAAACAAATGTGACAATGGGATTGTTGTTCATCGTAATCGGGATCCTGAGGCTGGACCAATTGATCAAGTACAAGTAAGTATCGGTAGATTGTGTCCATCCCCGTGAGCACTTGAGTGTTTCTTTTGTTGAGTTATTGGTGTTGCAGGTTTGTGTACGCAAGGTACGTAATAAGATAGCAGGAACCATAGGCGATGCCTACCTGTCATATAATAGGTATGTAAAAGTTAATCTGTATCCTTTTATTTATTTATATATTTTCTTTCTTTGGTTCGTTGCCAAGGAGGATTAATGAATTTGAGAACTTGTCTTTTTAATCATGGTAAAAGGAAAATATTGTTACTAATGGGTTGAAATGTACGTGTTTGGCAGGGTGACAGGTGAATATACAGACATTGGTGATGAATCAAAGAAAAAATAAGCCACCATGCTTGTGTTTGTATAAATTATACAGCGGGAATTGTGATTTTTATTTAGTATGGAGCATAGTGGATAGTATTACATTGAGGTTAAGTAACCTGAAATTTTGGGGAAATTGGTGGAGAGGAATGGATAATAGTAAAGATTTGCCAGGAGCTGACTGAGGGTGGGTACATATGGTTACGAAATTAGTATATCTAGAAACTGTTGTGATGGGTCTACTTAATTTGTAATATAGTATTAACATTATTAGGGTTTCATCACTAATATATTTTATAAGAATGAATATTTAAATTAACTGATGATTAGCATAATAGCAGAGGTGGTTCTTTTATGGAGTTTTGATTAGTCTGACCAACCAATTTAGAGTAGATTATTCTGAACACTGAACTTAGAAGAGAGAAAGAGGGTCTTGGTTGGTTCCAGCGCTGGCCTTTGACTAATGTTTCGAACAAAATATATTCTTGGGTTTAAATTCAGTAATAAATAAATCTTGTATTAAATCAAGTTTAGAGTTTAAGTTTTAGGGTTAGCACTTAAAAAAATTAATATTTTTTAATATATTTAGTTAATGTATTAAAAGCATGTTTGGTAAAATTTATAAGTATTTTAGTTTTTTGACATTATTTATGTTTTATAAATTTAAATTTCTTTTTAAAAAAGTTATATTTTTTTAATTCTTTTTAACTTTGCAAAGACTTTCAATAGTGAATTTTGAAAATTTTCAAATTTTCACTTTTTATAATTTTTTTACTCATTATTTATTTATTTATTTATTATTTTTAAAAGTAATTTTTAAATTTTTTTTTCAATAAAAATTTAAATTTATAATTCATAAACAATATTAAAAAATAAAAGTTCTAAAAATTTCACCAAGCAGCCCTAAGATCGATTGGGGAGAGAATGTCTTGAGGTATGAAAAAATTAGCTCGAATATATACTAACTGTTCAAAAAAAATGAAAAAACATATTACAGACATGGCCTAGCGATTTGGATGTGATGATTACAGCCAAAATTGGAGAAGTGTTGGCGTTATGTGGGTTTACTAGTTTTAATAGTAGCAAAGTAGCAACCTCACATGCAAATGCAACGTGCAACTATGAGTTGGCCAACCAATCATTCATCAAGCGGCCAGCAAAGAAATGAATAGGATGGAACTGAGTTGTCTTTGTCATCTCCATTCTCCAACGCTATATTTTTAACACCATACTTGTGTCTGGACTTGGTCCATATGAGTTGGCTGCCGACGAGCAGCATATTATTATTGTTCTTAACCTTTGTCTTTAGGCTAAAAAGGATTTGTTTGGAAGAGTCAAAGGTATCATCGGCTCAAATTTGATGATTATTATCATGGTAAATGTGGACAAGAAATTGATTATTGCTTCTAGTCTAGTCTAGATAAAACGATGATGTCTTGTCTCTGCAAACTCTCAGAAAACCATGTGAAAGAATAATTTGATGGTTGTTTCCCACATAGTGGTGGGCCTAGTAACTTTGGAAAACTCCCAAACTCTTTTACTGTTAAAGAGTCCAGATTTAGATCCTCCAAACATTGAACTCTATTTAACAATGTAAAGAGCAAATGATACCCTAGGCAGAGCAAATGTTTTTCATTTCCCATATTACAAATTTGATTTTTTTTTCTTTATAAAAGTTAAGATTCCTCTATTTTATAATCCAAACTATAATAGACTACAAAATATCTAATTTAAAATAAAAAATAAATTATTAAATAAAAATTATTAAATTAAATGAAGTAAGCCCAAATATTAAGAAACTTAACTTTATTTAATAGTTTAAATTATATATCTTAGTATAATTGAGATTGTATAATTTTTTTTTTATAAATTTAAAGAAATCTTGTTTTATAAATTGAAAATCAAACTGTAAAATAAAAATTATTAAATAAAGAAACTTTTTAATATAAAAAGGTTATTCTCATTGAATAATTAATACAATACAATTTAATACCCTCGAAATTACACTACACTTTTTTATAAATTTAAATAGTGAAAATAATACTTTGCTATAAAAAAGTGGGGTGGAAGTAGGATCACATGGATTGAGCACATCCCACAACGACATGTCAATATTTTAGTGGCATAAATACAGAATCCCTAATAATTCTTCCCCATACACAAGTAGTGTTTCTCTGGCCCGAGAAGCAATAAAGAGTGGACCCAAAAAGATTCTCTTGTGCTAAAATAATGTCACCCTCCATGCTAGCAAAACCCTAGCACAAAAGAATCCCAACGGCTCCCCTGCTCTGCGGTGGCTCCAGTTAGCTTACCGTTGGTGGGTCACCCTTCTTTGAAACTTTCAAAACATATAACCGTTGCACAACCCTTGCTTTTTCCTCCATTTAGTACTTAAAACAGACACAAACGCAAACTCAACTCATTCCCTCAGGAAAGAGAGAGAGAGAGAGAGAGAGAGAGAGAGAGTTTTCTGAGCCAAACTCAAGACCAGAGGTGGGTTTTCTATTGTTTTCTGTTTTGTAATTTGTTTATCGGTTCTTGGATTGAGTCTTACATTGATTTTTTTTTTTTTGGTTTGGTTTTGTTTTAGTTTCATAGTAGCAACTATGACTGTGGAGGTTAAGGTTGAGGAAACCCAGATGGCTGAGGCTGTTGTTGCTCAGGAAGACACTAAGAAGGATGTGGAAGAGACCCAGAATGTTGCCAGAGGGGAAGAGAAGGTAGTGGATGATTCCAAGCCCAAGATTGTTGAGAAGAGTGCTTCTTACAAGGAAGAGAGCAATTTCTTCTCCGATCTGAAAGAGTTTGAGAGAAAGGCATTGAATGAACTGAAATCCAAGCTTGAAGAGGCGATTCTTGGGAACAATTTGTTTAAGAAAGAAGAGCCAAAGAAGAACGAGAAGCAGAGCAGTGAAAATGTAGAGAAGGAGAAAGAAGAAGAAAAGGAGAAAGTTGAGAGTGAAACTCCTATTGAAGAGGAGGCTTCGAAAACAGAACCAGAAGAGGAGAAGAAACCTGAAGAAAAGGGTACTGAAATAGACAGGGATATCTCTCTTTGGGGAGTTCCCTTGTTGTCTAGCAAATGTGCAGAGGGTACCGATGTTGTCCTATTGAAGTTCTTAAGGGCCAGGGAATTCAAAGTCAATGAAGCTTTTGAGATGCTCAGGAAAACCATGCAATGGAGGAAGGATTTCAACATCGATTCTATCTTGGATGAGAATTTGGGGGCTGATCTGAGCTCAGTGGCGTATATGAATGGAGTTGATAGAGAAGGTCATCCAGTTTGCTACAACATCTATGGGGTGTTTGAGAATGAGGAGCTGTACCAGAAGACATTTGGAACAGAGGAGAAGAGAGAACAGTTTTTGAGATGGAGGTTCCAGCTAATGGAGAAGGGGATTCAGAAGCTTGATTTGAGGCCTAGTGGTGTCAGTTCTTTGCTCCAGATCAACGATCTCAAGAATTCTCCAGGACTCTCAAAGAAAGAGCTGAGGATTTCCATGAAACAAGCTGTTAGTGCCCTACAGGACAACTATCCTGAATTTGTTGCAAGAAATGTAAGTTCCTTCTGTCATCTTCACTTTCTTTTGCTTTATGCCAAATTCACATGCATGTTTATTTTGGTATCTGATGTTGTGTTTGCGAATTTGTTTGTAGGTATTTATCAATGTTCCATTCTGGTACTATGCCCTCAATGCCCTGTTATCTCCTTTCCTGACACAAAGGACCAAGAGCAAATTTGTGGTTGCTCATCCGGCCAAGGTCACCGAAACTCTTCTCAAGTAAGCATTTAGTCTTTTCCATATTTATCAATACCTGCATTTAAGCACTGAATTTAAGTAATGCTTCCATTAGAAGCAAGCTGACATGATGAACTTAATTCTCCTTTGAAGGTATATTCCTGCAGAGGAGGTCCCCGTGCAGTATGGTGGCTTCAAGAGGGAGAATGACTTTGAGTTCACTGGTGAAGATTGTGCTGTTTCTGAACTTACCATCAAAGCTGGATCAACTGAGACCATTGAGATACCTGCTGATGAGGTACAATTATAGTTGTCAAATTTTGAGTTGCTAAGTATTCTTGGGGAAAATGAAAGTAATTGATTGAATTGAATAATGGTTATGATTGCTCAAGGTTGGAAGCACATTAGTATGGGACCTGACTGTTTTGGGATGGGAAGTGAATTACAAGGAGGAATTTGTGCCAAAGGATGAAGGCTCCTACACCATCATTGTACAGAAGACTAAGAAGATAGGGGCACAGGAAGAGCCGATTCGCAACACCTTCAAGAACAATGAACCTGGCAAGGTTATTCTCACAATTGGAAATGCATCCAGCAAGAAGAAGAGAGTTCTCTACCGGTACAAGGCCAAGAAGGAGGATTCCTCCTTTTGAAGCCTTGTCTAATTACTGTAATAATTTGGTTGATTAGGGAACATGTTCATTCATACATTTCTAATTCTTTTTGCGTGAGACAAAAATTGAGTGAGTTAAGTGGATCTAGAAGCTTCATTCTTTAGGCAGGATTCATGAAACGATCCTGTGATCAATTTGTTTGTTTGAATCTTTTGCTTGAGAGGTCTGTTGGTGCATACACTCTTTTAAGAGTGAAAGAGTTGAGTTCTTTTGTTAATGGAAATTGTTTGATTTGAGTTTAAGGAAATTGTTATACACGCTTTAAGAGCGAAAGATTAGTGCATGCGTTCTTATTTGCCCCTTCTTACCCCCGATGATTATAGAAAAAGAAATGAAGCAACCTCTATAGTCCTTGCAAAACTAATTACTGCCTTTCAACCCTAACCACTTAATTTTTTTTTTTTTTTAATTCGGGAACAGGATTACATTTTTTGGGGGAAGGGGGAATGAGGATTAGGGAAAGGGAATTTATGGGGTTTGAAATTGTAACTTACGAAAGTGATTTCACTAACCTAAGATCAATACCTCTGGATCAAAGCGTGAGGATTAACCCTAACCACTTAATTTTTTATTGGTTTGTAGAAGTAAGGTACACAACTAATATGTCACATTTATCGGGGCATATCAGTAAATTATTTTATTAAGTAATTTGTTGTTTCATAAACTTAAGTTTATTGGAGGAAAAAAATTAAAATTCAACTTCAAAATGATAGTAGATTTTAATAAAGTTTATTTTATGACGTCGCAATTTAATATAGTCATTGTATGTCCAATATATTTTCAAATTTATGAGAGAGTGAATTGCTTATAAAAAACATGTACAGTCATTGAAGATAGAAGAAATCCAAGAGCACTACTCATAAAGGGGCCGGGCTTGCTTCTTAGTGTATAGATCCTAATTAATTTTTTGGGTTCAATGTATATATTTATAGAGAACTAGCAAAAAAAAATTCCTTTGATAATTAAAATATTAAAAAGAATAAAAAATATTTGCACCTGACCTTTTGAGTTAACTGGTACATGAGCAGCTAGAGGTGCATTCCCTTCTTCTCCATGGGCGGGCTTCGAGCCTACTCATTGACAACTTATTCAAAAAAAAATATTTAAATATTTTTAATGAATTGAGATGTGATTCATATTCTTAATGAATTCAGCATTAATGAATTCAGCAATACTATATCAAATTATAAGTTTACAATCATAATTGATATTAAATGAATATGATATATTATTAAATTAGTAAAAGTATACAATATCACTTGTGAATGTTTGAATAAAAGTAATTAATTATATAATAATATATTATATTATAAATTTATAATATTATGTAATATTATAATTATATTACTTTTTTATTGAATGCACATTTGTGATTCTGTATATTTCTTAAATAACCGACCCTTTGAAATTTGAACATAGTTTTCTCGTTAAACATTTAAGTTGAGATCATGAGTAGCGCTATTAACAAAAATTAGCACCAGAGAAAGCAACTGCTAAATTTTACTTGAAATGTGGTAAAATTATCGTTTTTGTACAGAAATTTCTGTGGCAATTGAAATTGAAATGTTTCTACTTATTGATCAAGAGGATGAAGTCATGATTAATCATCGTATGACAAAAGAATGAACCCAATAAAAGTCATATGGCAAAAGTTGACCAATCCACCATCTCGACTCCAATCCAACATCTCGACTCCAATCCAACTCACTTAAGATAAGTTATTGTAGGTCAAGGGCAATTTAATTTGCAACTCATTTTGATCCTATCCATTTGACCCCATAACCTGTATAAGTATGGCTATAATTAAGCCAGCAAGCCCATGAAATACGTGGACCATAGATTGCATTTTCTAACTCACGAACATTTTGAAACCATGGTCCGCGATACCCAAAACCCAACAACCCAGATTTAGCCGCCCCCCTTGTTATTTCTAGATGAAGGATAGGAGAATTAGTTGAAGCAATTGGTCTATGTTATTTATCTTACCTTCCTCTTCACGTGATCAAAAGTTAGACTTTTAATCAAATTCTTATAAACCCATTTCAATCTGTAGGGTTTTGTAGTTTGACTTTCACGTCTTTGGCAGCAACACGCGAAAGCAAGCATCCTTATCTCTTCTAACAATTTGCAGGACTTTTTTTTTTTTTTTTTTCAGAAAACATTTAGAGGCCTCTCTCTCTCTCTCTATGAGTAGACTTTTGGGATACATAATGGATAGCAACCTTTCCCCCCCAATATTTTAACCCAACTTATTTGTATGTTTGGTTGCCAACATCGTACGAAAATATTTATAGGGAAGCTGAGCGAAAATAAAAAATAGACGGCATAGTCTAGGAATGTATGTTTCTGGTACAAGAATCAAGAAGTAATTATAATTGGCTATATGCAAAATATAAGTGGTTATAAATGGTCATAATTAATATAATCCATTATATATTGGCTTAACCGGTTATATTGCTTGGAATAATGCTTTTATGAGGTTTTTGATTAGGAAGCAACTTTTGGATACTATATCCTGTTATATCTTTGTATAACTAATTATATCCCTATTTAACAAATTATTTCCTGATTCAAAATCCAAGGGACACCGGCCAGCCTTTTTCAATTTTTTTTTTTTTTTTTTGCCTTGGCTTCCTTACAAATGTTTTCTTGGGATATTGGCAGCCAAACATCCCACATATGCACCTTAACGACTTGAACCTAATTCTCTTACTTTTATTAAAAAAGAGATTAGCACCACTTACTTTTATTAAAAAGAGATTAGCACTAAAGTCATTGGCAAAACAAAAAAGTTTTAATAACTCCAATGTTAGATCTAGTGTAAACAAGTGTCGTCTTATAAGGTAGATTTATATTTTAAGTTTTGAAATAAGCATATAAGGAAATTGGTTTTTTTATATATACTAAGGCATTGTGGGATAAGTCTTAACATTTTTTCAAATGGATTAATCTTGAGATACGTAAAAACTAATTGAGGGATAC